ATTGGAGAAAACCCTTTTTATAAGGAAACGTTGTTTTCATGTGATATCCCACTTGGGAAATTGGAACTCTGATTTTGTTTATTTATAATGTTTATTAATTTAATTGATTTTGGGAAGTGGGGTGTTACAGTCACTCCCTTTGAAATGTCATCGAGAATGTTGTTGATAGGATGGTCTTTAGAAGACTTCCAAGCTGGAGGAAGGTCATCGGTGTTAGTCAGACGATCCTCCTCAATCTCCTCATGATGGTGATCTTTTTCCTCCTCAACTTTCACTGATTCAGGTTGATCAATTCCTTTTTCACTGCCTTTGAGTATATCTTCAGAAGATACACTTACACCATGAAAAGAAATAACTTTTCCGACATTTTTCAGATAAGTTTCATCAAAAGTGACATGAACAGATTCTTCAACAATAAGTAACCTCTTATTGTATATCCTATATGCTTTACTTGACTGAGAGTATCCAAGAAAGATACTTTCATCTTCCTTGGAGTCAAACTTACCAAGACTCTTCTTACCATTGTTCACCACAAAACACTTACAACCGAATACATGAAAGTGAGATATGTAACACCCCATTTAAATTATTCAGTCGCTTTGATATTTTCTGTGAGGTGTAGTTGTGTGGTGTCCTTAATTAAGGGTATGAGGTTAGGAGTAAGGGAGAGAGGTGACCTTAGTTGGGGTACTGTGGACTTAGATAAAGAAGTTAATTATGATATCGAGAGCATTATAGTGATTAATATTATTCCAACTATTATTAATAATAATGTTAATGAGATTATCATTATTATTATTATTATATTATTATTATTATTATTATTATTATTATTATTATTATTATTATTATTATTACTATTATTATTATTTGTATTAATAATATTATTTGGTGGAATATTATTATTATTACTATTATTACTATTAGTATGAATATTATTATTAGTGGGAGATTATTATTATTATTATTATTATTATTATTATTATTATTATTATTATTATTATTATTATTATTATTATTATTATTATTATTATTATTATAGGATTTAAATAATAAAATAAGAAATAAGGGATTAAAGGAAATAGAGAAGTTTTTTTGGGGAAAGAGAATTAGAACACGATAAACTGCCAGAGAAAGGTTTTGGGAGAAAAAGTGAGAAGAAGAAAAAGGAGGAAGAGAAGGAGGCTAAGGCTGTCAATCCTTCAAGATTCTTCAACGATTGAGCAATTAATCGAGGTAAGGGGGGAGAATGGATTTCAATATGGGTGAATTAACATGAGAGGGTAGTGAGAGGTCCTTTCTCTCATAGAAATTATGTGTTCTTGAGGATTCTTGATCTAATTTTCGTAGCATGATAAATTCCATAAAATTGTTGCTGTTCTTGAATGATTATTGTATGAGGAGTATTGCTTTTCATAGTTTTCTATGTAAGAATGAATGTGTTATATACGATGCTCTAAGGTTTCCCTAAGGTTTAGAGATTTGGGTTAATTGTGGGAAATAGGGAGGTAACCGTAGGAATCTGAGGTTATGGCCAAATGGCCAAATGATATGTATCGTTGAATATTAATATAGGAAAAACTTATGGGAAATTGAACCTTCGTGGCCAGAACCTTGACATTGTTATATGTCTGACCCTGAAGGGGTTAAATATTAGATAGTGAGTAATTTTAATGTCATAGGGTGTAATTGAAGGAAAACTTGTAATATGTTGTCCCTATAGGAATAGGAATATTCAAATGTGAGTAACTCTGAAGTACTCAGAGTAGTTGCAGGAAATAGTGTTTTATGTGTTGCAAATGTTGCTAGATGAGCCTAATAAACCATAGAAGTTGTGCAGTTATTGCTGTATAACATTAGGAATATTTTAGTGATGTTTTGGGTGCTTTGAGTAAGTGATTCACAAGAATAATTGAGTGAAAACCAGTTCCGGAGCGTAACAGCGTCTTTCTGTCCGTCACGACTATTCATGTTTTCGGTCGAAATTGTTTTGGACGTAACTTTGGATCCATAAGTCCGTTTTGATCCTCGTTCGAAGCGTTGGAAAGCTAATGAACAAAGCTATAACATAGGATAGATAATTGAATTGTTTTCCCAATATTTTTATATCTAATTATGTTTGAGAAGTCAATTGTGTATATGTTTTAGTAACGAATCATGTTCTGGTTCAATGATGTCTTGGTGTTTTGATAGATGTGGGCCAATATGGTCGAATGTGGACAATCTTGTGCGATTGTGGTAATTCCCGAGAGGATTACGGTGAGCGTATGGCTCGTGTGGATCAAGATTGATCGTGAATTATGCATGATGTATTACATTGCATAATTGTGTTGACATGCATTTCATATCATGTGTCTTGTGGAGATGGGTAAGTGGGAATCCATGATGAGTGCCTAGTTTCATCCGGACTTCATTGTGGAAGTTGTTGTGGAGATAAGTTGTAGTTCAGAGGAACGTATATACGACTTATCCGGATTCCGACGGGAATCGGGTTGTAGTGTGAACCGTATGAGATTGTGTTGGTACCACATGCATTGTGTCGAGTCAGTGAGTCGCATTGCATTATTGTAATTGAATGTGGGCTATTAGTGCCGAATGATTGAGGTGGCACGTGTATGTGCGTTAATTATGTATGATTGTATGTGTGGTGTGTAACTACTCCTTAGCATGTGTATTTCACCGTTTATTTATTGAATGTAGTTCTCACCCTTTTTTGTTGTTGTGTCTGTGCTCTCTTGGGAGTACAGGTGACCAGGTACCTGAGTAGTGCTTGGAGTGTGTTGCTATTTGATCGAGTCTTAGGAGTCGCTCTGATACATAATATGGGATGACGGGATTATGTTGTTATTTGACTACTTTATTTGTTTATTGTTACGTATCTTCATTTATTGGACTTATGTTGTATGACCTCGTGTCGAGGAGAATTATATTGGAGAATTGATTTGTATTCCACTGCTTACTTGAAAACTAAATAATATTGATTATTTTAATGAAATGAAGTGACTTAGTGTGATATCCCACTGTGTTGGAGAACTCTGATGAATTTCATGAATTGTTTCTATATATTTATTATATTACGCGTACGGGGTAAAGTGGGGTGTTACAATATACATTGAGCTTCCTCCCTTTCAATAGTTCATACGGATTTTTGTTAAGAATAGGACGAATGAGCACCCTATTCAAAACATAACAAGTCATACTAATGGCATCGACCCAAAAATATTTAAGAAGGCCACTTTCATTGATCATAGTTCTTCCTAATTCTTCCAAAATTCGAATTTTGCGTTCCACGACCTTGTTTTATTGAGGGGTACGCGACACAAAAAAATTATGATCAATTTCATGCCTACCACAATATTCTTCAAAGAGATGATTTTCAAACTCACCTTGATGATCACTTCTAATTGATATAATGTTTGTGTTCAACTTGTTTTGAGAAAGTTTGGCAAAATTTTCAAAGGCGGAAAAAGTATTGCTCTTACTAGCCAAGAAGATAGTCCAGCAAAATCTAGAGAAATCATCGACTATAACAAAACCATAGTAGTTACTACCTAGACTCTTAATTCTAGATGGTCCAAAGAGGTCCATATGAAGAAGTTCAAGGGGTCTCGTAGTTGAAACAACGTTTTTATATTTAAACGAGATCCTTATTTGCTTCCCCATTTGGCACGTATCACATAAGTGATCCTTTGAAAACTTGATTTTGGGTAAGTCAATCACTAGGTCCTTAGAGACTATCTTGTTTAGCAAGTCAAAATTGACATGCGTCAAACACCTATGCCACAACCATGAGTCTTCACTCATAGTGACGAGGCATTTGTCACTACTCAATGATACTTCACTCAAATCTAGCATATACACATTATTTACCTTCAAGTTATTAAACACATCCCCTTTTTTATCATTATTTTTTCTTATGCAACAATCCTTTGAAAAAGACACTTTGTATCCCTTGTCACATAATTGACTAATGCTTATAAGTTTGTGTTTAAGGCCCTCAACTAGCAATACATCAGAGATAGTAGTAGACGAGGGATTACCTACACTACCTTTTCCAAGTATTGCTCCTTTGTTATTGTCTCCATAGGCTACAAATCCCTTTTTCTTTGCCACAAAGTCAATGAAGAGAGATATATCTCCTGTCATATGTCTTGAGCATCCATTATCGAGAATCCATCTTCTCTCCGTAGGCTCAATGAAGAAGATGAAGTAGCTGATGTTGAAAATAATGTTGAAGAAGATGAACATGAGGGTAATGATAATAGTGATGATATTAACTTTGAATGTGATGGCATATATCCAATATTTCCTTTTAGGGTTTTCAGTAGAATTCGAAATGTACATGCTCATTGATAATGGCTACCACATACTAGGATTTGAAACTGAGTAGAGTTTCCAACTGAGGACGTAGTCATGCCTCACTGTGCAAAAATGGAAGGCAACTTGTAAGAATACTGATTTGAGCAGAGAAAGAAGAAGAAGGCGGAGTTAAAATATAATTTCCATTTTAAATTTAGTCCTCCTTTAAAAACTATCAACAAGACTTTTCACGTAATTATAGAGTATCAAAAGAGAAAGATTGAAAAATAATTCCACATTTTTTTTAACAAAAATTTAATGTCATGGATTAACCCCCAAAAGAAATCAACATTTAAGAACTCTATAAAAAAATTAAAGATTAAAATAAAAAACACATCCAATTACACTAATGAATCGATTATTTAAGCCAACTTTATTTATTTTAGGTGTCTAATACCAAAAGCTTTTTTAAAAAAGAAAATACTTTATGCCAACATTTCTTATAAATAAGTACTTTAATTAGCACTAATGGAAAAATGTAATATCTAAAAAGAAAAAGACAATTATATAAAGTTGAAGATTTTCATTCGTAAAGGATGCAATTAAAACAAATGATAATTATGTATTTGGATTCCATATATATTACTTCCAACCTTGGATAATTTTTTTTATGAGGCTGTAATAAATCTTAGAAAAAAAATTTATTTCCTAATTTTACACTGAAAAAATACTTTCAAATTCCTTTCTAGAAATTTAACTGCATCTACCTTCCTCATCTCTGGGGTACGAATCAAAGCCTTGGCCATATTGATATGACATTTTTGACCCATTTTCACAAGCTTTCCACAACATTCGTTACTCATGCTCTTATCATTCACTATATTGTAAAATACTTCTTTTCCACATTGTGTGCCTATTTCTTCAACGCATGTACCCAAAAATCTGGGGTCTTCCGGTTTAGTAAGGACATCACATTTCTGGTAAATTTCATCACTGTTTGTAAGATAATGAATCCATTCTTCATTCTTGAACCTAGGGTTTGTTTCAAGAATAAATAAACTCATTTTGCTGTGACAATAATATCCTGTTTGAAGAATCTTATAACAACAATCTTCAGTAACTTCTGTCACATTTGAAGTAAACAATTTGTTGTACACTTGTTTTCCACATTCTACTCCCATATCCTCTGCACATTTATGCAAATATTTCATCTCAGCAGGTGGGATTGAAGCTATTGTTGTTGCACAAATGGAAGCAACCAAGATAAGAAAAAAGGTAAGATTTTCCATCATATTCTAGCAAATGTGTTGTGTTATAAACTATATATTTATGTTTGTTTGATTGCTGCAAAATGAATATTGAGATGTATTTAAATAGGGACCAATGTTTACTCAGTCATTTTTATTTACAAAATAACGTGTAATCACATTAATTATATTTCTAATGTTAAACATAGTATTAGAAAAGTATGTTACAATTTGCTTTAATTTTTTAGGAGGTTTCGAAGTTGAATTTTTATTTGTGGAGTTTTAGATGTGCAAAGAAATGTAATATTTATTTTTGATTTTAAAAAGATAAAAAACTATTTAAAGTATAACTATGAAATAACTTAAGCATGCAAAAATAAAAATTTGAAAAGAGATTCTAAACAAGATGTAAGCCTAATCACTTACACCAAATCTTAATTGTTACCATTAATTGATTCTCTATCTCATAGTATCTTTAACAAACAAAATAAATATTTGCACGTGACATTAGTTTTTATTTAATAAGGATCTATTTATATTATTGTTTTATAAAGCAATGAAGGATATCAAAAGAAATTTTATTTATCTTTTTTCTTAATAGTATGATGATCAAAATTTTATTATTTAAAGGAGAATAAGTGAAATATTGCAAGTTTTAACCTACCTTTATGGAATCGATATTTTTTTCTGACTATCAGTTAAATTAATTTATTACATAACTATCAATTGAATTTGATTAATGAGATTATTTTTTTTGAAGTATTTTATCGTGACAAAATTGATAGCATAATAATAATAATAATAATAATTTAAAAATATATAACATATCGTCGTTAATGTTTAGTTCATAAATAATATGAATCTTTTTATGATATATAAAAAATATTTTTTATTAATGTTTTGGATCGGAACCAGGCCTATGCGTGAGTTGACGAAAAAAGGCTCTTAATACAGTGTTGCAAGTCTCATGTGCGGTTGAAGATAGAAGTGGACCTGCATAGTTAGCACTCCAACACGCTCAAATTAGTGAATGAATTTTAAAAAAGATAGAGTGAAGTATAAAAAAGGTGTGTATCTTATGTTTTATGCACATAGAAATATATTTTTATGCAGATGTCCTCCATCACATGATAGATAACAAAAGGAAAAATAGTATCATACCTATTGCACTCCAAAATTTGTCTAACCTTTTCTTAACCTGACTTTTGTTTCTTTGCATTGTTCTAACATTTGCATTGCATATAATTATTCATTTTGGGCAGGGGATCAAGAGGTTGTACATAGCAAGAGGAGGTTACCAAGAGTGTTGAGCCTAAGCAAGGGGTTTACTCAAGCATGAATGGTCATCAAGTCACCAAGAAGTGGTCAAAGTTTGTGAAAGAATTGATGGGTGTATGGGGGTCAGCTCCTAACTTGGAGGCCAGTTGAAGATCATCAGAGGATTGTGAATTCATGATTATGGATATGGGATGTTGAGAAAGCTCATTGAGTACTTTTAGAGCCATGTTGGAGCTTGTTCAAGTCATTATATCAAGTATAAGAAGCCACAATCAAGAGTGGTGCATCTAGGGTTTTCATCTGGTCAACCCTCAGTCAATTGTGAAATTGAAGGAGATTAAGACTCAATTCCAGGTCTTTTTGATCATGGAATGTTGTGTTGAGATGTCTAATATATCATTTCAAGTTAAAATCAAGAATCAAGAGTGTGAGAAGTTGCTAAATTAGGGTTCTCAGTGTAAAATCCCCTATTTAGTGTCCAACTTCAAGACCACCTATCTCAAGATACAAGTTTCATCTCATCTTGACCCCAACATGAAACTTGTAGAGCATGTTTCTATCTTTCCTTTGAGTACTAGAAGTCCTTCATCTGATTTCTTGAACTCAAGTTATGATGCTGGCAAGTTACAGGTCCTCAGATGAATGTGATTTTGGTCAACAAAAGTCAACCAAATTCCAAGCCACGTTTGACCTAGAAGGATGTTTCTCCTCACTTTTACCCAAACATGAAAGTTGTTCCTCATGATATTAGCTTTCCAAAGAGTACTAGAAGTTCATCATCTGATTTGTAGAACTCAAGTTATGAAGCTTGCAAGGCAAGGGTATTTTGGGAAAGTAAGATTACAGGTCATTTACATTATAGGTCCATTTCACCACTTTGCACACTTCAAATGGAACTCTTTCCAACTTCAAACTTGCTCTAAATGGGTTTAGATTCATTACCAAACCATCTCATGTCATGGTTGAAGCTTGGATTGAAGGATTGATGGAAGAAATTTCATGGAAAAGGCATTAAAAGGAGAAAATCCAATTAAATTCATTTGGAATCATTTTTTATCAAGTGTGTGCATTTTTTGAGTGCCAAAGTCATTATAAACACAATGCCAATTTTGGATTTGAGATTTGAGGTCATTTCCATGGTCATTTTCCAACTTACTTCAAGTTTAAGCAACACATTCAATCCACACCATTGAGATCAAAACAAGGGATTAATCCCAGCCATTAAATTCCTTACATCACAAGCAACTCAATGGAATGAAAACCAAGGCATTTTGCAGCAGTTTGGCTCGTGAAAATGAAGCTTACAACATAAGGAAAATTGGATTTCAATTGGACTTAAGCAAGCTGGGATTGGGCCTCATTTCCTTTCATATCCATCATATATAACTTCAGGATCATGAACAAAGCATTAGAACCGATTTTGGATGAAAATTGAGAGAGAAAACAGTTGGAGAAAGTGAGAGAAAAGTGAAATTCGAATTTGGAAATTCATCAAGATTCAAGGCAAATTAAGCACTCAAACAGCTCTAGGAAGGATCAAGCATTGTTTCTAGATCAAATTCATCAAGTTTCATCAAAGTTTGAAGGCTCAGTGGAAGCACTCCACTAGGTAATCTATCTCTCAACAATTCTCTCAATCCATGATGAATTAGCCTGCTGTTTGTGTGTTTGTGATGTATGAACTTCCTGCTTGGATTCTGGATACAATTGGCTGTTGATTGTGAACATTTCAGTGTGACATGTGATTTTTGTTTTCTTCGATTTGGCTTGTTTAAGCATGATTAATGAAAACTAAGTTCATATTTGAGATCTACGTGAGTTGTAGATGAATTTTGACTATGATTTTGCATGATTTGGTGATGTCTGGATTCACCTATGGTTGTGTATCGCCGGAGAAGATGACCGGAGCCACCGTGCTCCGGCCACCTGCATTTCTCCCTCTTTTTATGTTTAAATGGTGAAGATGAGACGTGGCTTTCTTGTGTTCATTGGATCTGTGTCTGATTATTTGTCTGGGACTTGATCTGATGGTCCTGATTTGTTTTCATTTTCGTGTTGGGGATGTATTAATTGCGTGGCAGCCTGATGGCCTTTGGATGACAGACTAGTAATCACAATGTATGGCCAAGATTTTGTTGACTGCATTTAAATGAAACGCTGCGTATTGCAGCTTGTCCCTCAACCGTTTGATTATTTGAGCTAGACCTGATCTTGTGGTTGTGATTCATTTGCATTTTATGTTTTATTCTGATTGCACCCGTGTCCTCCCCTCACCCCTTGGATTGATTGACTGGTCTTGGATCGTGTGGCTGAGATTATTTCTCATTGTATGACTGAGTTTTACGTTGACTGGGCCCCCAATTGCTTTTGGCACACCCCTCAAGCCAGGCCCAGCTGATTGCACGCAATTTTGTTGCTATCTGCACCGTGGATTTGTTTTCTTTTCTTTTCTTTTCTTTTTATTTTATCTTGTGACTGTTTGGAATTAATTCAATATAAAATATTCCTCCAATTGATAAATTCATCAAAAAATACTTTCTGGACAATTTAAAATGTCTTTTATTTTTTAGAATTTTTATTTTATTTTTTGGATTTTTTTCATTTAAAAAAAAGAATTATTAATTGGAGGTGTATTGTTTGGATTATTTTTGACATTGTTTGGTTTTTGATTTGTTTCTTCTTTTTCCTTTTGATCCAATGACTGAAAATCAATCCTCATATCCATGATGAGTTGATTGATTTTTGAGGACCATTTTGCCCCTGTTTGGTTGACTTTTAGTTTGACTTTGATTGCATTTCATTTGACCCTTGACAATCCTCATTCACAATGGGACACCCTTGTGAATCAATTTCTTTGGTAGTGTTGTGAATTGACTTTGATTGCAATCTCTTGGACTCTGTTTGCCAACATGTTTATTGACTTTGTGCATTTTATTTGGTTATTTTTGAATCATTTTCCTAATTTTGAGGTAACTTGCAAGTCAAGTTACCCCAAAGGGAGGTTCATACATACACATTGACCTAGTTTTCTTTGGAGATGACATTTATGAATCCTTTGAGCCTTTAATTCCTTTTGATTCATGTTGCTAACATGTTAAGGTTGCTGGTTGCTCAATTTTAGGTCATGATATTGTGTTTTGCTTGCTCATTTGTGTGTTTCTTTTGATGCTTCCATTCTCTTGTGTATACGCTTGTTTTCTCTTATGATGTGATTGCTTTTTCTTTTGAGCTCTCTTCTCTCATCTCCCATTCTGTCCCATGACCTTGGAGTATCATTTAAGGTGGCTTGGTCCCTCCTTTGGAGGTATTTGAAGCATAACTAAAATGATGAATCCATGAGGACTCCTTTGTGCTTTCTTTTGCACTTTGTTTGTGATGCTTATGGTTGAGTGCATATTATGAGTTCCTTGCTGTCCTCATATTGCCTCCCATCCTCACTTTTGTTTTGATCTTCCTTTCCTCTCATTTGATTCGGCTTTTGGCACTTGTGGTTGATGTTGTTTGACTTAGGTCATTTCATCCCACTTTTGGTGCATTTTTGTGTGGTTTCTTCTTGTTGTTTGGTTTCTTCTTGTTGTTTGGTTTCACCTTGTGCATTCCTTTCTCTATTCTTCTTTTGCATTCTCATATGCATGCTTGAGGTTGAGATGAGCTTGTGGAGGCTACTGACCCACACATATTTCCTCCCTCACTTTCATCTTACTTGTGCATTCTATGTTTGCATTCTTGCATTTTCATGTTTTTTCTTTTTCTTCTTCTTCTTTCCC